GGTATGGAACAGCTATCCGATTTCGAACATTTTTAAGAGGAAGGTCCGTGTAGCTAGTGAAAATTTCTCCATGCTGATTGTTGTGCAATTAATGAGCAGCTTTTGAAGCTGACTTTCAAAATACTCGCGATACCTATGAATGATGATCCGTCGTGTTTTACGTTATTACGTAAAGGGTATTCTTGGCTTGAGCGTTCAAGTAACGTTGCATGAAAGATGAAACAACCCACAGTTTAGGCCAGTTGGTAAGTTCGTAACAGCGGAATCGACGATTCACAAACCTTATTCAGTCTTGAATTACCCGAGTGATGGTCAACTATTTCATCTTGCCAACATCTCAAAAGGTGAACATTGATCCAATTGAAATCTACATTCATAGTACGCCATCAATACAACGCATTACGCGTAATTTTTCCACTCAACCGACGATGGCACGGTTACCAAAGTCCAACTCATCGCAGGACAGTGTGATGTTTGAAATAGCTAATATAGTTGCCATCACTAGCGTGCACACCCAAAAAACGTCTCCGGATGAGAGGCTTGACCAAAACCCTTCATCACACCAGACATGTTTGTGCCTCCATCAACAGTTACAGACCAGAACTGGTTTCAAAAGGGACATCTACTCCAAGCATTCTCATGTAGCGCGATAGTCAGAATCGACTCATCAGACGAAAACCAGAAGTTGTGGGGGTAACTGAAGGTGGTATGGTTTCTGCTGCGACATCAATTAGCAGCGGGTCGGATACGGACGTACTACGAAGCAGCATTGACGAAATCAAACGAGATAGCTCAGTCTTTAAGGCGCGAACTTATTGACCGGAAGGCCAGACCCGATGCACCAATACCAAGCCTTTTTAATAATACATCCACTCACGCCGTCTAGTCTGAATATCCATCGATGACTTCTGTTTTGTGGAATCCAATGAAACAGTCTAATTTCCTCGGGCCCTAATTCACAGACTCTTTGTCCATAATGTATGGGTTATTTGCTTCATTTTATATAGTTCAAAAACGCAGTAAAAAGTTGTGTATGCCTCGTGTTTGTCAAATATGCTAACAATCGCATCAGAGGCATATTAGTCTGTAACAAAGATAGGTAAAGTTAAAAAGAAATAATATCAGATGAGAAAAATAGCTCAAAAAGATACACATAGGGTAGAAGAATTCAAATATTATCGATATCGGTGAAAGAAAACCACAGGCGCGGATACATGAAGTTTGAGCGAGGTGAAAGACGGGAGGACAAATAGACGAGTGTTGAACAACATGCTCGAACCGAATGAACCAACAGCTGCAAAGGCCATGCATCCAGCAGGGTTAATTGCCCACAGCCAAGTGTTGCAGGATACATGCAGGCTATTCCCATGGGTCGCACCGTGTAAGTATCCCGGTATTGGGAATAACCTAACACAATGCCTTGAAGTTCCATACGAGAAAAGTAGGCCAACCAATTCGACAGGAATGAGAGAACAGCTAGAAGTGCAGAGCCTGGAAGATGTTCACTGCCTGAACGATGAGGACAGGTCGAAAAGGTCTGAGCGGGTGAGATCCATTCAACACTTGTGCACACAAAACCAGCGCCACAGTCGTGGTGTTCATTTACTGTATCTCGTGGAAGGAGAATGACCCGATTGACAACAGGTGAGAACGGAGACAAAGCCTGGAGTGTGAAATACAATAAGAGAGTATTTGCAAACCATGGACAAAACAATTCACAGGATTGTATGGCTATGACAAGACAACAAAGCACACTCAGGCGGAACAGTTAAACTGTGGTTGACCTTATTGTTAAATCATCCTTGCGTATGACCAAAGCACTCGAGTCAGTTGCTACGCTGAAAAGTGCAAATTTAGAAAGCGGTTTGTTAAAATCTCAGAAGCAATGCAAACTCAGCTAATAAATCGCCTGAAGGATGGTTGTAACATCGAATATTAATGGGATAGCCACGGACAAGAAGAGAATACTGAGCACGCACGCGGTAGCAATAAATTCCTTCGAACCAGGTTCAACCACGCTGGTAGTCTGAACACGCACGACGCGGCAGATCACTGACAAACCCGACCATCTATTCAATGTCTCCCACCTAGCTGTCATTCGGAATCGTTTCGCGTAGTGACAGTGTACTCTACTTACTCTCATAATCACATAAGTTCTGTGGCGCACAGAGCAGATAAAACGACCATGGCTATTTCAACCACAAGTCGGAGTGCAGATGAAAAGTACAGCGCCACTCAGGAATTAAACAGGTCACACCTTCTCACCGGGCAAAACCGGTTTTCCAACAAGGGGTTTCGAAAAAAACTGCCAGTTTATTTTCGCCATACGGACAGAATAAGTACTCCACACTACGATGAATTCCTACATGTCACTACATTGGTGCATTTACCAGTCGATTCTAAACTTCCCTCCATCAGATGTGGCACAGTTTAGGTAGCACCGAATGTTCGAATCAATGCTACGTTCTGCTGAGTCCATTTATCACCAAACCGAATGATCGTGGAACATTCGACCGCCCAATAATCCTGCCTTGATCCACCGCATGATCGCGGTAATCATACCTAGTTGACGGAGAATGCTCGAATAACAATCTAAATACACTGCATTCACAACCTACAATAGGAGAACAGTTGCCCCACTTTGAAAAGACTACCAGTAGAAGAGCTAACTCCTGGTGGGTCATTGAAAGCAAGTTTTGATAGTAAAGTCCCACTCAGAAGAGTTCACTTTTGGTCGGTCAACTGCTATGCTGTTGATCAGACACATCAGGACAAATTGTACAGTGCTCACCTACTCGCCGGAAAATTAGTAGGGACTTACAAGGTACTAGACACTCAAGTGGGACAAAGCAACTCTGTGTCACCTCCCTCGTGAATGTTGTGTCTCTCGTTTTTCTAGATAATCATAATACTTAGCGGCCAGCTGATGACTGTTTTGAGATAATACATCAGTCTCAAAAGCCTTAGTCTCAAACGAAATAACGGGACACTTGAGGGTCGGCATTCATTCACTCTCAACAACAATGAAGCAGTTGTACAGTGATTCCGGGGTTTTCAACACACAATCCTAGATCGTAGGCTGAAATTGCAAATAGAAACTCCGAAATTTCACCTGTGTTTCTCCGAGCTAGGAAGTACCGGATTTATCTTCAAAATACTTGACTTCCTTAGTCTAACAGTAACGTGTTTCTACCGTTAAACTTGATCGTATTGGCAACCAGAGGATGATTTTTCCAGTTCGTCTAGTTATCAATCCTTCGATCTTCAACAACAATGGCTGCAGGTACACCTGTGACATTTTACAAAACAAATCACCGTTGTCTTATTGATTTCACTAATTCAAGACCTGTTCCTTCCAGCTGAATCTTTCGCTTGCTGTCGGACACATGTTATCTTGATTCGAACATATTTAAAAAGGCCATAATCTTTCCTCTTATTGTCATATTGCTCCGCATGGATTGTCCCGCATCTCCCATGTTTTTCTTGAAATGAAAAAAAGTATGAGCCAAGTAGCCCGACGACCAGGGACCAAATACCTGCATGGGTGCGCTGGCCCCATGGCTGCTGTCCCGGTCTTGAAGTATTGTATGACGTTATCTCGCCAACAACGACGTGAAGGATATTTCAAAGAAACTCTCAGTCTCAGTTGACTATTACAGTACATCAGGCTAACCAGGAACATTCCATCTGACTTGGTTGCATCGGCTTCCAAGCGGGTAGATGTTTACGCCACTAGATGAGTACATATGTGCATCCGGCTAATTGATCGAGCTGGAGGGTAAATCACATTTCGCAAAGTTGGCGGTTAGATTGTTTGAGCGAAATTGTTCAAACATGTTGCTGAGCTCACGGGGGGTGACTTACGGCATAATGGGCAAGTGAACGACGACAGATTACCACCCGCTAGACGGTAATAGTGAACCGATACCTTCGGTTTTCTGGGATCTTTGGATTTCTGGGATTCTCCCTCGGAGTTATCCTAGAGGAGTAGTTTTTACGGGATCACAAACCGTAGCTGATTCGAAGCTACCGACAACAGAAGAGCACAACTATTCCGTTCCACATGGCTAATTCCGCCCGCATCCAGATGCGAATAGACGAGACTATGGCAACACCAGTAGAGCTCAAAGTGGACTAGTATTCATGTCTTAAAAAAGGCTGTCCCTTCATGATGGAAAAAAGGAAACCAAGGATGACTGTTATGTGGTTCTTACCACATAACAGACTATCTAAACCCGCCATAAAATCCCGGGGAGAGCTGGAGGGTAAATCACATTTCGCAAAGTTGGCGGTTAGATTGTTTGAGCGAAATTGTTCAAACATGTTGCTGAGCTCACGGGGGGTGACTTACGGCATAATGACCAAGTGAACGACGACAGATTACCACCCGCTAGACGGTAATAGTGAACCGATACCTTCGGTTTTCTGGGATCTTTGGATTTCTGGGATTCTCCCTCGGAGTTATCCTAGAGGAGTAGTTTTTACGGGATCACAAACCGTAGCTGATTCGAAGCTACCGACAACAGAAGAGCACAACTATTCCGTTCCACATGGCTAATTCCGCCCGCATCCAGATGCGAATAGACGAGACTATGGCAACACCAGTAGAGCTCAAAGTGGACTAGTATTCATGTCTTAAAAAAGGCTGTCCCTTCATGATGGAAAAAAGGAAACCAAGGATGACTGTTATGCAGTTCTTACCACATAACAGACTATCTAAACCCGCCATAAAATCCAGGGGAGAATGAAGGGTGAATAGAAAAGTCAGAAAAGGAGTGAGTGGAACGCAAGCCACTCGATTACAATAGGATTGAGTAAACCATATGCCAGTGTTAAGTGAACTTCTCGCTCACGTCGACCCCATCAGTTATTTCGGTTCTTACTTTATTATGTATGTTGACTCAACAGATCCAGATCGTTACATTGCAGTAATATTGAGATTCAACAGGGTCAAGCGGTAAAAGTAAAACAATGAAAACATAGGCTTGAAAGTAACTCACCAGCGAGTCAATGAGGATGAGCGGAACAGGTTCTTCTGCACGCGGTCTGTGGTTGTACAACTCAAAAGCAAGCTGACATGCGGATGCTGGGTAGAAATAGCTTCCAAAATACCTGATAAAATCATCGTTGACTGTAAACAGATAACCCGGAGCCAAAAATGGTGGCCAGCGTGTTTGGTAAAATATCCACCAAAAAGGCCTCAGCAACGAAAAAAGGAGTTTAAGACCCTTGCGGCGGTTGATGAGTCTGTTCGATTCATACTGAGTCGCATACAACATCGTGCGCAACTCGTGATCTGTATTATTCAGATCGTACGTATTCTGATCTGCATCCGGAGAGTGCGAGTAATCTTCAAGCTGTGAACCATCAGAACCAGGGACGGGTGCTGTCTGAACCTCGAGAGGTTCTTCAACAAAGTCCTCAACTTCCGTGACCTGAGGGCTTGATGGATTGGAGTCATCTTCATCCGGTTTGGCTGCTAACGTTGATTCAATTTGTTCAGCAACATTAGGGAACACCACTAACCCAGTCACATTTTCAGCTTCGGAGACAAGTTGATTAGTGATTCCTGAATCGACTGAGTGCACAGGTACTTGCGTTTGAACCTCATTATTTCTTCGAGTATCCCCCGCACCACAAACGCTGGACTCGCTTTCGATAACACACTTAGTTTCCAATTCTTCGTTATTCTCCTCCGATAAATTCACGCTTCTTGACTCACTTATCTGTTCATCAGACACCAGGCCATTGTTTTGCTCAACGACTTTCTTATAGCCGTAAAATAACTGTCTTAACCTTTCAAGAAGCTCACCATCTTCTCTGGATAAAGGGTTCCAAATCCCTATTTCTGCTTTCTGTAGTGGTGTTTCGGTGTGCAGAATATGGAGTGAAAGCGCTGGCCCATGGCTATCATCCAACCAAGATGCGAGGTACATTGAATAGCCATGTGAGCACATCTCAGCGTAATAATATCGCGTGGGACAACCACAGAAGGTATGTTCACAGATGGCCAGTGACGAGTTTTTTGGTTGAAGAGAAATATGACACAGGAAAGCGTTTTCAGTATAAAACGGCAGGCAGTTGGCCTCCGTAAATAGATCAAGAAATTCTGGGTCTATCCTACTGAACTGATCAAATTCGATGGGTGCATTCGATTGGTAGTAAGCACTTAGTGACGAGACCTCTCGCTGCAACTCCGTTGGTGCGTCTGCCGAAGGGAGCTGAGATTGCGCTTCTCCAGTCAACTGGAAATGACAGTGAAGAGCAAAAACGATTAAAAACAGCCAACTTGAATAGAATTCGTAGAGTGAGACACTACTCCAGAAAATGCATATCCATAACTCAGTAATCAATCGTAAACCCGTCAAGGAATTTCAATCTCGTTATACTGGCACCGTTTATTATCAGGCCTGTTTTCCAGGTTATTAATAAACCCTCACTTACTAAAAACAACAGACTGATAAGAAATATGTGAAGTTTCAACTACCGTAAGTTAGATAGATTGATCTCCTTACAGCAGAACGATCCTCAGTCACAGCTTTCGAAAAAGAGTACTGCTATACGTTTTCAACTGTTTTGCGTTGTGTTTTAGGTTTTTAAACGGCGTTCCTCCACCCCATCATCTGCTGATGTCCCTTAAATGTTGCAGCTTGCTTGCACATTTGTTATGGTGCCCGGGCCCATTAGCCACGCCTGTCCGTTCGATGAAGAGAAACACGGACTTTTGACAGGACTACACATTACCAAATGGTTATGAAAATTCAAGAAGCTAAGTGCAAGCCGGCAGGACACTTGGATGTTCAGTCGAATTCATTTACTCAGCCAAAACTCATGTACCAAGGGTAGATCGGCTCCAGCTGCCACAATATCACCCACTAAAAACTGAAGACCCAGGTAATGGTCTAGTGAGCTGGTTGACTTGGGAGTGTTCTAGTTACCTGCTGAAATAGAACAGTTGGAAAGCGCACAATGAAAGCTCTAATGCAGATGCATCGCATGACAATGTCTCTCGTCCGGGACCTCAGTCTAGGTAGTCGGGGTCGGTTAAACTACTGAATCTACTGATCAAAGTCACTCTGTCTTGAGATCGTTTACGATTGGCACAGGAGTGGGCAAAATAGCTCTGTGAGACAAACGGTCGCCCGACATGCGAGGTCACCTGTGGAGCGTGACTTGATAACTCCCTCCCTAAAACTGTCTGAACCTTAGTAGCACACGTCAGTGCGCCAGGTTCCTATGTACCCACTAGACCCGGATCAAGGTTCGGAGATAATGACGGGTCCAATACTAAAAGTTTTTATAGCTTTTGCGCACCGATCTATACAGTGGTATGGTTCACAGTGCCGCATTGTGCACTCCACCCTAGAAAGACAAACTGACAGCGCCGTAGGTGCAAAAGGTGGAAAAGCTGGTGTGGTCCTCCTGATTCGAGGAATAATCTTCTCTTCAGCCAGTCCACCAGGACTTAAACCGTGAGAATGAATTAAGTGTTCTGCAGGTCAGTTCACGGATATGAATGCATTATATATGGGTTTGATCCAACCCAACCTCACAACAGCACTCTAAACACTTCAATGGTGAAGCTCATACAAAACTATCCGGCAGAATTTTTTGGGCTTAAATGGCTCGTACCTTTGAAAGACCTGAATTAACTAGAGTAGTCTCGTCCCGTTCTTCCTCTATGCGATCGACTGCCCCGGAAGCATTCTTACGGCCGATGTGAGGGGCAGGCAAGTAGCACATCGATAACAAAGTTGAAGAGTTATAGTGGCTAACTGGGGCAGAAACTTCCCGCGTACCGATACACACCTAAAATTAACAACACTATACTCAAAACACTGCTATCGTTTTTGGCGATTCGAGGTTCAACACATCCTCCAGGTCAAGCGAGATGACCACTTCGGTCAGGCCGCACAGTCCACCGGTAGTGTTTTCGTTTCAAACAGTTTTTGATGTGGTAGACTGTTCACCAGGTCTTGAACTTCTTTGAATATCGTAGAGTGAAAATCATAGGGGCCAGGTATCTTGTGGCGTGTCTTGTGAAGTCCTATTCCGATTCATAGGATTCTTCGGGAGCTTGTGCTGATATATTCCCTAAAACGTCAGTTCCATCACTCAAGACGGCAATTCTGCGAAAGAGCTTCATCTTCTCCTATATCTCTCCGTTAACCCACATCTTCTCTTGATTCATCAATCGGAAAAACTCAAGTGAGGCAAGACGATTTCCTGAGGTGAAGGTTCTCCCTATCCTTCGGACTTCCGCAATCCCTTAACGTTGTCATTACATAGGCTTTTGAACGCGATATAACTCTGTGGTTAAGGCATGAACTTACCCACCGGAGCTTGAGGGATCTCGTACCCCATTACCACTATTTGATGATATCCGAAACTACTAGAAGTTGCTGATCTCAATGGTATCATTCAGTCGAGTTGGAGGTTTTGAGCACACAATCTTGAAAAACAAAAACCTACTTTCACTGAACTCTTTTCCACTAATTCTCCAAAGGACGCTCATCGTCCGCATGTCTGCGCACTTCCAGTAAACTTCCAAGGAGACAACAGGATGTCACAGTGAAATGTACCAAGTCTGACCTTCCAGAGATTAAGGTGCACAACTGAGCCGGTGTTTCATACACACATATGCGCATAACTCGTCAGAAAGGAGTATCTGTTGCAAAATTTGACGGAGTAAAGTAGAAAGCTGCGAAGTAGGTGGTAGCAAATAAATTCACGTCTTAACCATTGATCTAATTCGAGCTCTAACGCGAGTGCCCAAAAAGAGGGCAGATTTCTCCTATTTTGAACCATCAACACTAATGGAGATTGAAATCGAACGTCCATGGAAGTGTGGTCGCTCTGATGAAATACGATATATCTGTCAACAATTAAAAATGCTTAAAGATACAGTGCTTCTTTCTAGGATGACCAGGGCTAGATCATGATGATCACCAATGACGAGCTCCTAGTTCTACTTATGTCTCACTTTTTTCAGTCGTCCCTTGTGTAGTATACTCGATTTTATTCATATGGTCGGAAGAAATCTGATGCTTAGCCATCATGAGTTTTGCAATCATTTGTAAACATTGTCAATTTTCGGATAATTGCATCGAGGTTTATCATAAACCATCGGAGTTAACACCAGTATATTCATACTATGAAGCCATCAGAAAATTTAATCGCTTTGGCTACAGAAAGGCATTGACTTGAGCGTAAAATTTTCCCGAAATTCTCAATACCACTGAGTTTAGCTTATTCAGTTCACCTTAAAGTACTTCGTATTGGGGGGTTGAGGAAGAAGTCAATCATTCTGTCAGTTTTCCGTCTATCATCTTCATACAACCTCACTTTTCTGCTACCCCGCTGACTTCATCTGACATGACATAATGGAGTTGCTTATGTCAATCACAAGCGAAGCACTTGCTCAGTGGCTGTTATTAAGTGTTGTCGTGACTCTAATTACCTTCGTTAACTGATAAATTCGGTCATGAACTCCAGGGTAGCCTTGAGGGCTACGGAGGGTCTGATAAACCGGCGAATGAGCTCAGCCAACTAGAAGGCCGAAGAGAATCGAAAAGTACATTTGACATGCACGCTTAGGATATGCACATGTTCTACAAACACCTGTTGTTCATGTGCTCATACGTGATATCAAGTTTCACATGGGAATCAAATTCTGAAAAACGTGAAGCAGAACCAAGTGATTTATAGAGTGACTATTCAACAGAAGGTCGGTCTCTATGGGAGTTATGAGACGGCCCTTCGACACCATAGGAAGCTGAGCAATCACCATGCGCATTGCTTTCACCAAACAGACCAATCACTGTCGTTAAGCGTTTTACTACAGACAGTCATGAGATAGCTACCAGAAATGATCAGTTGGAAAAGTGGTACCAAATCATCCAGAATTTCCACGGCTTTTGAAAGCTCAAAAACTGTGCAACCAGCGTGATCCTAGGCTGAAGTAATGCGACCGAAGTATCTCATATTTTCCATCTTCCCTCCCTTCGTTTTTATCTTTTTGCTTTTGACTGAAGTCCTCAGTGTAATGAGTATGTGCGTCTGATCGTGCATCATATACGGTAGTCCCAAAACAGACGCCAAAGGAGAATTCCATGTTGGCAACAATTCAGTTAAATTCATCCACCCCAGGATGGACCGATCCTCAGGAAGGACCGAAAGTCGCCCGTTACTGTGACGCTCTATTCCGGGAGAAATAATCCTTCCTCGTTATGAGTAGTGCATTTGGGTACATTGTGCTATAACAACAGGCATCTTCACAACCCAATGAGCATTCCATAATAGTCAATTCGGTCCACATAAGCAAACCACATTCTTGAAGACCCACTGAGCCTACCGTAGCCTAACATGTAGTTTTCCAAACGCCTGCCTCCAAAAATAAGCCTGACAATTCAGGTCTTACAAAGAATCAAACTTACGGTGATTCATCTGCTGGAAGCAACAAAAGTGTGCCCCCTATGAAGGTAGAACTGTTGACACTGAGAAGTAATGAACTGCACACCTCGTCCTGATTGAGACTCATGAAGTGGATACAGCAGAATTGGTCGCGCCTCTTTGGCTAAAATATTTCACCGCAGCTACTAAGCACACTTGTGTACACGGTGAAACCTGTTAACCAAAGGGACAAGCAACTGATACTGCCAAACTTCAAGTATCCGTGAGGATCGTGAGTGAACAAGTTTCCTGAAAAATCACATTACACGGAATACACATAGAAAGCATTTGTCTCTTATGCTTGAAACCCTGGGCATTTGTATCTTGCACACAGTTTGCGGCTGTAAACACGGGTGCGTGATGAGTTGTCATTCCTGAACTTATCACAGGGATGTGTGTGGATGTGCAAAAACAGCAGAATATTCCCTTACCCAAGACTATATCTTGCACAATTCACATACACCATCCAGTAACAATATAAACCGTCATACAACACGTTAGGATTTCTACTGAATTCGCAAAATCCCTCAAGGATTACACTTTGAGGAATGGTTGATCCAGGAGGCCCTGTATGAATGTGTGAATGCTGCCCAGATTGGCTTTGCTGTAAACTCTGTTTTGAGCAATGGCTCATAAGCGCATTAGCTTGTCTGAGTCAACAAGAAATTTATTTGTTTCTTAGTTTGTTAGTTGCCAATTGACTGACAAACGACTGCTTTGGAATCACTCCGATCCATGATGCGATTTGCTACTCGTAATTTCAAAAGCAAAAACGTTTTCTTCTAGGCGATGTAGTGACTATAGTCGTCAGTACCGGTTGGGCAGCATGGGACGCCGGTTCCACACGACAGCTGAAACGTAGCAAACCCATTACCGCTTCCAAAACAACTAGTCATCTTTCGGTCGGCTTTCTTTTGAAAGACGATTAAAGACAACTAACATTATCAGAAGCACCAGCATCAAACGTGACAACACGAGCGTTTAAAGTAAGTACTCCACCGCCATAAAGACTGAAACGTACACTGGTAAACTGGGAATGGGGTCGTACTTACGAACGACCGCTTCTTCCCCAATTTATTGTTGACCTAGATTTCATCGTAAAAGTACACGTCACCAATTTGGACGACAGTATATGACATTTTCGCTCTGAGTAATTTCAACAAATCCGGATAGTATCATGACAGGCGTTACAGACTCCTATGCAAACGAATCATAAACGAGCGACAACCACACAAAGGAAAGGCGTAATAACACAAAGTTACCTCTGCAACCGATGGAACAAATGATGGAGATGCCTCCGTCGGAGCAGTTGATGGCAGTAAGTTGTCTTCGGCCCATAGACACCACTCGTTATTGGGTTTGAAAACTATGTCGTCAATAGTGCCACCGACCAATGACAAACGAATAAGTTGTTCTCTCTTCCCGAGGTCCTTGTAATCTCCGTGGTGATGGATAGGATCATCAAAATTCGGCTCGTAGAACAAAAACACTAAAGCCGAGATTAGGGATTTCAAATCGTTTCCCCTCGAAGACCAATAAGATGTAGGAAAACCTACCTACTCCAGTAGGACAGAATGTTTAGGCAGATGTTAGACTCAATTAAACGAGGATGAATATTCGGATGCCAGGGTGGATTGATGCAACTAACATCAGGAGCTTCATTGGGATAGCCCTCAGTTGTAGTTACCTAGAGTTGTTGTCGAGAAGTATAAAATGTTCGTACCACAAACCGAAATGCTGCATGAGCGTAAAAGCCTTTCTTAGGTCGGATGATAAAAGCGAAGGAAGTAAAATTGTCCTCTTTCACAGGAAGCAGTTCGACCTGTCCTTTAAAGTCCTGTTCAATTGCAGCAGTTAGTTTGAGGTAATCACGAATGAAGGATCGCTAGAGAATGATGAACCATATCTACTTATCGAAATAAAAGGAATTAATTTACCTGCATTACGGAAAAACTGTAAAACAGTGGGGTACACACTAAAATTGAACAAGGGAAAGAAACAATTGATAAACCCTAACAGAGCGCACAACTATCAACCTCGATGCAGAATACAATATTATTGCAGTTGCCTGATGTTTTCACATGTTGTTGACTCCTCAGAATCTATTAATCTCAAAAACGAAGTGAGTCCAAATGGCGGGACCCACGGAAAATAGATGTTCCCGACATAGTCAGTCCGAAAGATGATTTTAGGGCTAAAACAAGTTAATGCGGTATTGTGGACACAACAGCTTCCCATGAGTCATGCACAGGAACGGATTCGGGTTAAACAGCGAGTTGCAAATGTCAAGGTCATATTTATGGGGCCATCAGTTAGAATATGCTCCCAAAACTGACTGATCAATAATTCATTCCAATCAGTTGAAGATATTTGAATAGGATATTTGGATACAAGACAGATGGAGTGGAGTCATACTGAATAGATCAAAGAAGGGTAGTCAATGCATTTCGGGGTAATCCACCATCTCAGGGAACAAGCTGGATCAGGAGTGAGATATCTGGGAAAACAGCTGCAATACTGCTGAGAGCGACATCTAGCCAAATGAGTTGAAAGGCGCTCCAAATATCAATTTAAGCATCAGACGACTTCAATGAGTCTATCAATCCTCTCCCTCAATGGTTATGAGGAATTGTGTTTGGACACAATTTGACACAATTTGACACAACGGAAGACTGCGGCATGGAATCAAGTCATTTGAATGGAACCAAATATGCCGAAGCCCGCAGACCAAAGCAAAGTTGTCTACGGTTATCTGAAGAATGGAGTTCGAAATCGCGGACGTTGGAAATTTCGATGTTGGGACAGGCTTCGGGTAAGTTTGGGAAACTAGCTCCGATTTTAAGTCACGAAGAGACTTGGTACTGAACAGAACAGTATGACCAGCTCTACTCGAGCAGACGTGGGCTTTGAGATGCGTTGCGCCGCACTAGTGAAAAACAAGGGACCCATTTGAAAGATGAATCTCCCAAAAACAGCCACGGTAATGAATATTTGCGCAGCCTGTGGACGCGAGCGTTTCATCAGGATTGGTCTTGTGGGTCACCAGCGTTAACCCACCGGTTAACATGCAAAACGCAATTGATGGAACGGAGGTAAGTTGTCCCATTTTTAATTACAACCGACCCGACAATGTCATCCTAAGAATGACGAGATAATTAACCACATATTATCCATTACCACCCTGTCGGGATGTTAATATTAATGTGTTAATTAGTAACACTTTCATGGTGGTAGCCTGAAGAGGTGTGATGTTACCCTAGAGGGACTAATTGATGACGCCAGCACCTTGATAATAAACGGGTAATTGGAGCTGTGCTCATTGTTATGTGATCAGGTTTACACTGGCTGATGCCTTACAACAGGCCTGTGCACTTTCGCCAGCTGATATTGTTCCCTCGGATTCGCCTCGTACCAAGAACTCGCGCGCAGAAGCACAATCGGCTCCGCGCAAACTTCTGTGGCTTCCTACTATGCGCAGGCATCCAGTGTTTTGACCACTGTTGGCCTGAAAATCCTATTCGGACACCAGTCTATCATCTCAAAAACGAGTGCTTTCCCACGTAAACATGCTGGGATAATCGACCTGTTCATCTGATGAGTTTCGACCGCACAGACGTGACAACAGTTAGCAAAAAACACCACTACGACGAATCATGTTCAACTTCAAACGAATCCTTTCTCTGCATTGTAACATATAGTCAAGATCTCTGAATGTTAAACGCAAAACCTTCATGGGCACCGTAGGTAATCCGGAAAGATTATGCTTAGATTGTTCTTCCCAAACCTGCATACCGGGTAACTACGTAAGCCAGGTCACGTATCGCGGACGTCACTGGTCGTCGCGAGCCTAATTCGTATGAGATTAATATAGACTGGCAATGAAGTGATAGACTAGCATTGAGACCGTTCACCTTATTGTAATAAGCCTTTCTGGATAGTGGTTTGTTAGGGGATACAACGTCAAAACGGATAAATGAGGGCCGTGCCATACTAAACCCTCTGCACGTCTTTCGTTTACGTTTGTTATTTACTGCTGACTACATTACAGTAATGTTTCATTGTAAACTGAATGATGAGGAGCGAATATGGTGTTCATCCTCTGAAATCTTAGGACATTCTCATATATTTTCATCCAGATCCCACATGCCCCACGGGCTCCGGAATGGACTAAAAAGCCAACTACGAAACAAGTATGCGTGTCCTCTCTTGAAAAGAATTTACAGCAGTTGGAATTCACAGGCAGTTATCCATACACATCAAAAGCTCGCAAAGAAAATATTGATTGTCGCGAAATGTTTATGACTAGTTTTCGATGTAAATACAGGCCCACCATTGAAAACGTGCCACAAAAATTCTTGTAAAACGTAATGCTAAATAATCACCCCTTGACGTCTTATCTATATATAATATGGTTCCTTGAGGAATACAGCCTGCAAGTTTAAGACCCCAGTACAAGGCCATGTATGAGTTTAGTCATACGAAACGTAGTCAGTATTCATGGATCACCCAATTGTTATATGTCAAATTTATTCAGTGTCATAGTAAGAAGTGACTCAAGCGAGCCTCTGATCTCTTTGACAGGAAAATCCGGAGAAGAAAAGACTGGTCTCGTGCAACGCTAAAGTTGATGAACATTTGTGAGAAAACACGTGATCGAGTGTGAAGCGGTTCAGGGATAAGTTGTAGGCATTTAGTCAACAGTGATGCCTCAGGGTATTGAACAAGTGATGCCTCCCCTACGTGTAAATTTGTTTAGCCATTTACAAAATTAACTGTGTGATTGAACGTGCATTTTCCAGTTCATTTACACTAGATTTATCTGGCGATTTAGTAACAGTATTCTTTTACGATGAATCCCACGATCAGCGACCATGTGATCAAAGTTTCTACTCGAAGAATCACAAGATCGATCGCTTCCCTCTGAGTATTCCCAATAAAGGCGAGATACATCATGAGACTGATCCTTTCGAGGTCAAACACATTTATACAGTATGACATCGAGTACGCAGACGACATAGCTCTTCTAAGATCTGACCCCGTGGCAATGCAAACAATACTAAATAATCTAAATAATTCTGCCTCGCAGTTTGGTATGCGCTCTACACCTGCAAAGTGTAAAGTGCTACTGCAAGACTGGGTGGGCTCGAACCCTAGTCTCGCGCTTGCGGACAAACCGATTGAGGTAGTAGACAAATTTGCTTACCTGGGCAGCTGTATCAGTCCCGGTGGTCTCACGAAAGATGAAATTTCCATCCGGATTGGGAAGGACAGAGCAGCTTTTGCGAACCTACTTCACCTGTGGCGTAGGCGTGACATCAGCTTCTCTGTCAAGGGTCGAGTTTACAATGCTGTGGTGCGCTCCATATTACTATATGGATCAGAAACCTGGCCGCTGCGCGCCGATGACGCCAAAAGACTTTCAGTGTTTGACCATCGATGTCTTCGGAGCATTGCCCGAATCTGGTGGGAACACCGGATCAGCAATTCTGAAGTACGTCGAATGGTATTTGGGAGGAATAACTCACCCTCGATAGATGAACTGATCACACTGCACAGGTTGCGTTGGCTTGGCCACGTGCTGCGTATGCCAGTCGACCGACTTCCTCGAAGGGCTCTTTTCGCACAACCACATGAAGGGTGGAAGAGATCTAGAGACGGTCAAACAATGACTTGGCAGCGAAGTATGGAGGCCACTACCAGCAAACTCAGCTGCGTTGGTCACTGCCGTCTTCCTGGATGGGGACCCCGAGACGGGCCACATCAATGGCTAGAGACATTATCAGACATGGCCCAGTCGCGCCCTCAATGGCGCTCGTGCATCAAAGCTATTGCCTTCAATGCATAGCTCCTTTTCCAACCCCCACCCACTTGACAGCCCACTGACAGTGCTGGATTTGTGTACCAATTCACGAGCTCGCGCGTGCAATGCGCAGCTACCTACCCCCCTACCCCCAAATCATCGGTGAACGAAACTGCGGCAGCTGAAACCACTGTACGACCAGTACGCGGTTCTTACAGCTGACAATGATGATGATGATGATACAGTATGACTTCAGTCGGCAATGGAAAAACCTTTACTGAGACTGGGCGGTACATGTCAGACAGAGATAACAGGTGAAAATGTCAGCGTATCATTATCCCCACAAAACTAGAGCAAGTGGTATTGTGAGATTCTATCACGCACAACTTTCTGTTTGTCATCATCGTATGTTTCTCGAAATCGACCAAAACCTTTCAACCCTCGTGTCCTGACCCATTACTCTTCTATTGTTTATGGAATCACTTCGAAATGTGGGAGATATGAATCATCTGCTTTATTTTCAAGCTAGCCTATTGTAGGGTCCGAAACAAGATTTTCGCACATCGTTCACTGGCAACGTGTAGGCCGGAGAGCCAAAAACCCTCGTCCAATTAGACAAGAAACTCAAATCTTTATTGAAAGGAAGCTTTAACGGCCATACTGCCTTTGACTATGCAGTTTCTTCGAAAATGGCCGAAAAAAGGTCGCAATACCGTGTGAATCACGATACATCCTCAATCAGGTCGCATCAACTTTCTGTGAAATCACAACAATTCGATCCTTTGCCATCCTCAAATAGCTAAGTGTTATAGACGCTTCCAATGAAAAATGTTTGTCAAACAAAACCAAGGTAGCAACTTTGCCATCCCGACCGAGTCAATAACCACTCAGGCCTACATCGACATCAAGAGCCTGCATATGGTGCCACGTTCAAACTAACTGTGGTCCACCTATTGTGCGCAGGCGTCTAATAGCTCTACCACCGCTGGGTGGAAATCCACTGTCAGCCATTCATGGTCGACAGCCTTGTTGTCGAAGCCCTAGCTGTCGAGAAATGCAGAAATTTTGCGTGTCTGGGTCTATTCTAAAACCATTGGCCTCAGTTCTATCCTCACATGATACCACCCCTGGTTGTCGGTAAACTCTTGTTACA